CTGTTACTGCTACTGCTAGTAGGACTGCTAGTAGGACTGCTACTGGTACCATCCCTAAACACACCCGAAACGCTCGAAAACAGAGGGAACTACCAGGCATGGGTACTACTACTACTACTACTACTACTGCTACTACTACTACTACTACTACTACTACTACTCCTGCTGCTGCTGCTGCTGCTGCTGCTGCTGCTGCTCCGACGACTACTGCTAGTGCCACCCACCACCACCACCACCACCACCACCGGGGAAGCGGAGGATGCCGACACAGAGTTCAGGTTGCACTCGAACATGGCGTCGCCGCCTCGGAGATAAGTCTTTGTATTGAGGGCTGGAGCAAGATGCACCTCCCAGGCTCGGTTATACAAAGCTCAAGAAGGTCGAGAAAGCTTTGGAGCACTGTGACAAGGCTGGTTGTTGGGGTTTTCGTTTTGCTCAAGCTCAAGCCAGAGTTGGCGATGGACAGATCTCTGCCGTTTTGAACTGTATAGATGTCAGGGAGTTGGAGGACGACCCGAAATTCAAGTGACATGGGGAGGTCTAACTAAGTCCAGCTGTGGCTCGACAACACTGCGCTTGTTTGATGCGACCTGCATCGTTCTTGAGCTGGACCTGCGGGCCTTGCATTGCATGGATTTATCACGCCCGTTTTGGATCTGAGAAAGGTTTAGGTTTTCTACCAGAAAGTGGTTTTCTTTGCTGTCTCAATGCAAGTGCGGGCTTCTTCGTTCATGCCTCTCCTGGAGTTGCCCAGACCGAGGGAGACGAAATTCGCAGGAGTTTCGCTCTTCAAGGTGACACTGAAGCGAGCTGTAAGCACTGAACCTGAAACTAAGCAGCCCGGCCGGGATGTTTAGGGCTGATTGGGCCTTCAACGAAACACCTTTCAAAGAGAGCAGCCTTTTCACGTGGCTTCTGATTGAATGATATATGTTTGTAGGCTTTATGCGGTTGTAGTATCATATGGCCCAGAACCCTATCCTGGTTCCCGTAACACAGAGACCGGCTGCGGGGAGGCGCTGCGAGAGCGGCTCAAGATCGCGGTGACTCCGGAGCTCCGTGGCAAGGCCTGGTGCAGCATTTTGGTTTCTGGAGGCTCTCCGGGTTACCTACCTGGCTCTTCTACTTGCAGAGGATCAACCTTGACATAATCCTAGTCTGGGAGACCTAAGGAATGTTCTCAGGTGTCCGCGAACCGATGTTAGGTCCATCGCAGCGGTTGGAGGGAAGCGGCTGTTGATTCAGCAGCTTGCTGGGCTTGTCCGAGTGTGAGAGCATCGACCCAATTCTGGACCCGTCTCAATGTCCTCGCAACCAGGTAGATGTCGTCCGATAGGATTCCAGTGAATACTTATCGTCTGATCTTTCGTCCTGGAGTTCGAGCACAAATATGTCATGTCGAGCTCCTGATTTCAGTATCACCATGAACACGTCCACTTTGGACATACTTTACCGGGGACTGTCCTGCGTGTGAGAAGCCTACAGGGCCTGCGCTTAGACTGCGCCACTGAAGCCACAATGTGCTGGCCCGGTGCAGATTAAGTATGTCCATAGCATGTCTTTGGCTCCCAAAGCCGAAGTATAGTACGATTTTATCATGTTTGCACTTTCTGCCCGACTCTGGAGCCCTCACAATAGGAATGTGGGCGAAACGCCCTTTCTGTCTCTAGCCTCTGGCTGCAGAGAAGGTGCACTACCGCAAGGCGGAAGCCTACGAAGTTGCTGGCGAGGTTTGGCGCTGGGAAGCGTGGGGGGGGATCTGTGGACTTAGGAAAAGAGGGGGGTTCGGTTTGTCGAGGCTTGCCGGCAGTGGGGAGACGTGTCTTAAAGGGCAAAGTCCGGTTCAAATCCGGCTGGAGTCGGAGTTTGGTTCCAGGATGGAGTCAGGGGCTGGTGATCTGTGAGGGCTTCAGGGAAAAAGAAGATTCTGGAGCACTGTGTTTCATCGACTTCATCCATCTTTCGCCGGTACCCAGATGTCGCATGCGAATGAGACGACCAGGGGTACGCCTAACAATGCATATTCGGGGGGGGGGGGGTAACGGGATTTGGGGAAATACAATTCCAGGCCCGGGCAGGGATTAATGTATGACGAGGGGGGTCGAATATACATTATTTTTGGGTGGCTTTTGCTGATCAGATGCACATTGGAAACTTCGTCGTTAGTGCGTCGTAGGTGGCTTTGAAGTTCTTCCAGAAACATGAGCAGAAAGATAACAGCCCAGCACACTAGCAGAGTACTAGCAGCATACTCTGGTCGTCCTGAGGCCGGGGGCACAGTCACAAAAGGCACCTCATACAACCGTGAAGCAAGCAGCGCTTATTCCGTTGTGGCATTTCCTGGGTGGCTGGGTGGGTAGGTCGGGAGGGGAGGGGCTTTCAGAACGAGTTCGTAACTCGTCCTGAAACACTTGTGTTGGCAGTCCTGGGAGTCAAGAGAGTCGGGGAATGTATAAGGACAGGGGTTTTGCTACCAAGCCCCCCCCAAATATACATTAGTTGTGCCCGGTTCCTGGGGCAGGACCGGGCTGGTACTGGGCAGCAGTCTAGCAACGTCTTGCAGATTGTAAGGGGTTATCCGAGCACTCTCCAGGCAGTCCTGGGGAATCAAGAGAGGCGGGGAATGTATAAGGACAGGGAGTTTGCCACCAAGACCCCCTCAAATATACATTAATTGTGCCGGGAAGGAGCCCCTGCTCATGATGCTGGGTTCCCCATCCCCTCAACCGACCTGAAATGGGGTCCGAGCCAAAGTCAAGAGAGTCGGGCAATGTATAAGGACAGAGGTTTTGCCACCAAGCCCCCCCCCACATATGCATTAGTTGTGCCCGGTAGGCAGTGGGACGTATAAGGACAGGGGGTTTGCCACCAAGGCTGCCCCTGATGCTCACGATGCTGGGTTCCCCTTCCCCTCAAACGACTTGAATCGGGTCCGAGCCAACCCAAACGAGGCCGAAGTGATCCGAGGGGAGTCGTGTGAAAAAGCTTGCTGTGCAGTCAGTGTGTGGTGCGAGTCTGCTCACGTAGTGGACTTTCTTGTTGCGGTCCATGTTCACGTCAGTCTCATGGTCCATGTTAAGCCCATGTTCATGCCCATGTTGGTCCCATGTTTTAAAACCAACTCGTCGAAGGACCCCCCAAACCCCCTCAATGTATACATTCCCGCGGCCCCGAAAATGTATATTCGAGGGGGGGCTTACGTTTTTGGAGTTGGGCGTAGGGGTAGACGACCGGAAAAAGGCATTTCCCGAACTAGTAGAACCAGCAGAAGCACATCCCCCGTCTGTGGTGGCAAGAGCTGGTTCTCTGGAGCCCTTGAATCAACCACGAAAGCCTGTAAGCTAATCAACGCAGCGTTTTCAAGTATTACGCATAGAACGAGTGTTTGTTCGCAACGCCCCCATTAGCCGATCGACCATTCCGCGGCACAAATTCATCAGACCTGCCAGATGGTGCACCGGGTGGTTCTCGGACAGGTGTCAAAAGCCATGGCCAGTTGCAAGCTGTCTTTGGAGGCCAAGCTTGGGCGGTTGCCGACACTCAATTCATCATGCGAAAGCTGCTGCTGCTGCTGCTGCCGCTCTGGCAGTTTTTATGATGCTTTATGGGCTTATCGCGGAGTAGAGCACCTCTGAAACACTCTCAACAGCACAGGGGATTTGACTGCTCCTCCCCCTCCGACCCCATCGCTGAGCAATCAGACGGACGAGCCTTTCAAGTTGATTGGGTTTGCGGATGTGTGCAGTACTCAGTGCTCAAGTGACACATTGTACTCTCAGATCAGACCCCTTCGTCCTATCAGCCATGGCGAAAGCTCACACCTT